GCCTCTGGGGCAGACTTACACAATTAATTTTTACTGAGGTCTGCTGGGTAATTCACTGTAGTCAGAGAATCTTCACTAAGGTAAGGTAATTACCACTGGGTAATTTCATGGCAGTCTGTTCAGTAGGAAGCAATGTGTTGGCTGGCTTCTGCTCCGATAAGACCTGGAGGAAAGTGAAGATGCTGCTTCTGGGAAACAACACATGTATGAGACACTGAGGAGGGATGAGCAGAATTCACTCACTTCCCAGATGTGGACCAAAAGTTGCACTTGCCCTCAAAATATCTTTTCAGGAGTGTGCATGAAGACTTAGAGTACACAATCTTGTAACTATCTTACTGAGAAGCTTTCCAAAATGAGTACTGCACCTGTGTTTCTTTAATATAGGAACAAAGAATGCATTCCTAGTTTAGTTTGAACACAGAAGTAAACAATGAAATGAAATATCCCTTTGAGATTCGTATTTATCACTTACAAGAAGCACTTCCTACTAATCAGTGGCAGCTAGGCTGACAAGCAAACTTCAGAGCAAAGCCATGGGGGATACAAGTCTATTTTATGTTTACTGTTGACAGTAAGGGTCAGAGGAAAAATAAACTCACAGCAAGCAGTGTCATGCCACCACAAACCTCTGCTGGCCAAGCAGAAACTAAATTACAGCCAAACCTTTCAGCACAACAGAAAGACTTGGGCAATTGGGCTGCCCTGCAGTGCACAGAGCGCGACATACAGATGAACAGGATTGAGCACAAGTGAGACACAACATAAATAAGTGATAAATAAAGTTCAAAAGATTGGAGGAGCTGATTATCCTACAGTCTGGAGTGGGGTACAGTATGCTTACTCCAACAGCATCCCTATTATTTTAATGTTTGAAGTCTGCAAAATTAATCTGGAAAGCCCTGTGAAAACAAGGACTGATCATGGCCTCCTTCAAGATACCTTTCTTTTGCTCAAGCTATAACTAATACAGGTATTCTCTACTTCTGGTCCTAACCATTAAAAAAAAAGAAAATAACAGCAGGACTCAGCCATTATTTCTACTGCCTACACATATATATATTAAAAGAAAATACAAACTTTTTTTATCTTAAAAGTTTAGTCCTCAACTTCATTTAATGTACTGTAATACTACTGGGGAAAGCTGACTTGAGTGTGTTAGCATACTAATACAAGGTAAGATTTATGTAAGGGGAAGAAGAGGGAAAAAAGTATATTCCACATTGATATCACTGCTGAGGGCATTACTGGCTTTCATTTTGTTAAGTTTACTTCCTATTAAAGTTGATGATAAAAGAAGCTGTGTGGACTCATAAGCACCTCTATCTACATCTCTCCATGGACTCATTACAAATATCTGTTTCATATAGTCGCATCGTCTAGGACAGATTTAATTTTATTCTATCTTGCACTAGACATAAATAAAAACCTGTCATTACAACTACTGCGCTGTTTTACTTTTTCTCTACCTATCATCCACTGGATGCAAACACAATCCTGTAATTCCTACTGTTCTGTTGCTTTCCTCTCCTCTTCCTTTTTTTTTTTTGTCTTTTTGTTTGTTTGTTGTTTTTAGTTTTGTTTTGTTTTGGTTTGTTTTGATGGAGACACAAACACTTTGTCCATTGTCAGGGACTAGTTGCTTGAAACAAAGATGACTTTTTACTTTCAAGCATAATTATACAGGACAGAAATGGCTAGATAATTTATTATTATTTATTCTTCTAACCTGTGATCATACACTGATAATTCGTAAGGAATATTCATGTACCACAGATAAAATTCTTCAGATTTTAGGAAGGTGTTTAAAAGCCATGCGCAGTTTTAGTGGGTGATGCCCAATCATTGTGCATCCATTCTCTGCCAAACTGATGCTCATCTTGTTGTTCTGTGTGACCATTTTAATGTACTTGCTAATCATTCTCCATAGCTCCCTGCTTATCTGAAATAAACCTGGAACATTCAGAAGAAGTGCCCTGTGGACCAATGCCACACTACTTGGTTGTGATTTTGCAGCCTACTGGACATCAGATTAACAAATTCTCCTGACTTTTCTCATGGGGTCCCATAATTCATCTGCTTTGGCAGCACTATTTCTGAATTGCTGAGAGGTGGCACTGAGGATATATTGGGTCAGCTCACATTGGGTCCTGTGAGCATGCCTCTCATTAATACAAATGGGATGCCTCTTATATGTTTGAAGTCTTATGGATTGATGGAAAAAAAAGTCAGCAGTCTCCAGTGACTGCAGTAATACCCACAGAGATGGTGAGCAATACCAAGAGAATAAAACCAAGGCACCCAGTTCCAGTGCCATGTACTCCATTCAGAGTCATTGGGATTGCTCTAGTAAATCTGAACCACATCTCTATTTCCCTGAATCTCCTTCTCTTTTTATAAAGTTTCATTTAGAAACTTGCCCAGTGTAAGACGTCTGAGTATGTTGAGCATGGAGATGTAGATGGTAAGGAAAAGACCAATAAAAGCCTGCTCTTAGTCTTCTAGTCACCAATAATAAAATACTGTTTTTTCCATGTTATTAAATGATATTTCCACCCTCTCTTCTAGACTTGAGCTTCTTTTGGTACATTTCTCACTTATCTTTCATAGAACTATAGAATCACAGAATCACAGAATGGTTTGGGTTGGAAGGGACCTTAAAGACCATCTAGTTCCAACCCCCCTGCCATGGGCAGGGACACCTTCCACTAGACCAGGTTGCTCAAAGCCTTATCCAGCCTGGCCTTGAACACTTCCAGGGATGGGGCATCCACCATTTCCCTGTGCAACCTGTTCCAGTGCCTCACCACACTCTCCGGGAAGAACTTCTTCCTAACACCTAATCTAAATCTCCCTGCTTCCCATTTAAACCCATTATCCCTTGTTCTATCACTACAGACCCTTGTAAAAAGTCCCCCCAGCTTCCTTGTAGGCCCTAATAGTAGTCACCAATAAAAAAATACTGTTTTTCCATGGTATTAAATGGTATTTCTGCCCTCTCTTCTAAACTTGAGCTCCTTTTGGTACATTTCTCACTTATCTTTCCACGTATAATGACTCTATACTAGTCGTGGAGAGGATTAATCGGTGGACAATTAATCTTTTTTTAGGAATGATAGAGGATAATCACTTGTGAATACTTTTGATAAGCTGGCAGTCTGAGGGGACAGTAACATAAAGCATGTTAGGAATTGTAAATGCCCGGTGCAGTTTGTCCTTGTTAGAGAACTTCAGAAGGGAGAGAATGGTCTTGTTCAAAACAGGAAGCAACAGCCACAGAGGAAGATGTACCTCACTGCTATTTAGCAAGGCAGTTTCTTGCTACTGAGGGTGCAAATAGTAAGGAAACAACAAATATTCAGGAAGCTTTACACATGAGAGGCCACAGAAAGGCTTATTCACCTTATGATCTTATGGTGTCCATGCAAACCAGAACCCTGCCTTCACCCTGAATTAAGTTACATTGCAGCCACTGTGACTCAGTTTAAATCTCATATACACAGAGTGGAGTATATCCGTCCCATTTCTGTACCTACTGTTCCATTCAATTTGGTTCCTATCCTGTAGTGCCAACATCTTGAGGAGGGCACTGAAGGAAGAGCAAGCTATTTGGAAATGACAGCATGGGCCAGCCCAGTGGCTGATGGTTGTGGGATTTAGAATTCAAGGAAATAAAGCTGTTAAGGATTCATGTCTGTAGTACAGATGCCATTTGAGCATGTTAGCAGAGCCAGATGTTTAATAGCCATTTGGTGAAGAAAGGCTTTGATCTCCTTCAGTAAAACAATGGGTAGAATGTTTCAGAAAACAGCTATTTTCAGTACATATTACTTGTGGATGCTAACCCACATCCTTCTAATTTTCAGACTTCTTTGCAGATGGCATTTCAAGCAATGCTGTGAGCTTCTATGTAAGGACTGCTTTTGCCATTACTGCCTTTTACATGTGCTACGAGTCTTGTAGAAATTTCCCTGTTTAGAATCAAGTTATATATGCCAACAGTCCTTGACACAGTATCTTGGGAACTACTTGCAGTTACTGGAAGCTTATCTGCTTTAAGGGCAAGCTTGTTTGCTTTGTAACAGGTTGATTACACCTACCCTAGAAGCAGATTCATGAAAGATCTCTCCCCTTCACCTGGTCTGAGAACGTTTTGCAGATGTCTGGTTTTGCTAGCTGGCAAAATTTCTGCAGAAATCCAAACATCTGTACCCTGAAGAATGGTGAGTATAATGCAGGTGAATATGAAAATGTCATCTGATAGAGAAAAGGCATTCTCCTGAGTGTGTCATAGTTTGTAAGTTAAAAAAACCCAGAATCAAAAGACAACATGACTTCAAAATAGGGCACACAGACACATAGTCAGGTTTGCTCAACTTGGAAACAATGCACTGTGGAAAACTTTGAGTTTCGAGAAATCCTATTTGAAAAAATAAGCAATATATAGATACAGAAAACAACTGAATTTAGATTATCTAGAGTAACACCCTGTATAGACAAGGCCTAAAAATAGATTGTAAAAGGCTTTTCCTCCTGGACTTGTATTATTAACAGCATTACACAGTTTCATTAGCAGTATTCAAAGTTATTGAGGCAGCCTGTTTTGAACTTTCCTTCTTCATATCCTTGTTTGAAGTTTCTACATACTTTCAAGGAAAATTGTGAACTACTATGATCCTGATTTTTAAGAACCCTTTCACATTGCTACAACGATAAAAAAAAAGACAGATATATTTCCTCTCTACCATGTCTCAAAGCAAACCAGGAACTCAGCCCCAGAATGTTTTCACTGGTAAAGCTCCCATTATATCTCTTAGAGTTACTCCTGTAAAAAAAAAACACTGAACAAACCCAAACAGCCAACCAAATACAAACCAGGGAAGTTGGCTAAATAAAGATGGTATCTATTCACACAACACCAGCGATTTTTATAATTTTCCCACAATAGAAACACTGAATCAAAACTATAAAAGCAAGCATATATAACGTGCATTACTTACAGTGTATTTCTAGAACCTGCATTGCTATTTGAGGTGTAGAGTTTAGGGACTCATGATCTACTCTGCAACTTACAACTGCACCATCATCATTGCGATCTGCTAGAAAATCCAGCGTGCTGCTGACTGTGAATGTTTTACGATTTGCGTCTTCTTCTTTTAAATATTTAACATCTGAAAGAAAGAATAAACAAACAGTTTTCTCTCCAATATTTTTAGAATATGAAGTCTAACATTAGATAGCTAAATTATCTATCATACTTGTTGAAAAAATGTCTTTTGTATCTGTATTGATCTCTTTAAAACAAAAGTACTCAGACTAGTTATTCCTCAGTTTGCTCCAATTGTCAGAGCAGGAAATAGATATTGAAAAAGAATACTTTTAAATTGGTTATATGATACTGAACTCAAATGGAAATTCCTTTCATCATCATCTCTAAATTGTTTAGGTCGAAATTTAATATAAATTTCTCTGCGGATCGTTAGAAAAATTGTGGTCTCCTCCCACCCTCAATTCCCTTAAGTATTCAGTGTCACTAGCTATCAAATTTTCTAAGACCATGCTTATAAACTTTCATAGTAATGCCATACATAGATACTACTGAAGCCATATGAACTAAGGATTGCATGCATGTAGTCACATTAATACTATGCTTACTTTAGTCTTTGCTTATTCTGCTGGTTGGCTATAATTATGACAATTTATGAATTAAACTAAACCAAAGTAGATCTATCAATTGTGATGAACAGCTGTAAATAGAACATGACATAGCATCTACTGAAATCTACAGACAAGTCGCAAGACAACTGGAAATAAAATTTTTTCAGAGGCCTTCCACTCACTCCTTTACATCATGCTAAATTAGCCTACTGCTTTTCTTCAGATTCAGTTAAAAAACTCTTTGATTGTTTTCATCCCACATACTGGACTGCGGGAAGCCTACAGCTATGCTTAAATATTCAACTCAGCTCAAGATTAAGGTTCAAATTCAGAAAGTTCTGTTGTAGGACATACATGTGAGATCAGAAATGAAGATTCAAAAGACTAAGGATTTATTTTAAAAAGAATTAATGTATTAACTGCAACATGAGATCTTCTTACACATACTTTAGAATTGTTCCCCTTGGTTCCCAACTACTTATAATACTTACTGATTTTTATTTATTTCAGCAAAAGGGTATGCTTGTTGTATTGATTTATTACAATGAAAGCTTTAAAAGACATATACATACATAAAGACATTTGTTAAATTACACTGACATGTTCTCTGTGTCCTAAAAAAAGATAGAGTGTGAGGTTTCAGTATTACAAATTATACTAAATCCCATTAGAGAAGAAGATGACCTAAATAAAATTTCCATGAAATATCAATTTTTGGAAAGCAAATCTTAAATGGCTTAAGTTACATCATTTAGACTAAAAATACCTCTGAAACCAGAAAGGTGGTGTTTTTCGTTGACTCCAGACAGATGAAGACACTGTGTAGTTACATGGTTTCTATTTTTCCCTAAGAAATAACAATTTCTTGCATACAAGCATTTTTCTGCCTGTTGGTTGCTAAGCTTTAAGAGGTATTAATTCCTGCCATGGTGACTATTAACATTTAGTGATCAGGAGGTGAGAGACACATTGACCGGGGCCAAAGTTATTATAATCAAACAATAAATGTCTTCACTAATATTTAAAACAAACACATGACATTTTCTTCCCAGATTTCGGTTTCCAAATTTAATAATAGGTACATATATAGATAGCCTTCTACTTATCCCTTTGCTTACTGATGTCAGGTGGAGGACAGACAGCTCCTGAAAACATCAACAATGTTAATTTCAGTGAGAAGTTGTGGATACTTAATCATTTAGAAAAACAAAAGATGTCAATTTCCTAAACAGGTGTTTAGAAGCCTTTCTCTAGACATCTATTGCTTGGAAGAGTTCAACTCTTACTTTTAATTACCTCTGTAAAAAGGATGGTGATACTGTTCTATAAACTGTTGACATCCCCATCAACAGAAATACAGAGCTTGTCCACTTTACCAGCTTTATCTTCTTAGATGTTTCTACATAGTAAAATGAAGGTGGGATCATAATATATGCTAACTGAATGTTAGCCCACCTGGATGTAAGCGCAATGGGGATCAGGTACTTGGTATGTTACCATATGCTAGCGTGCAAACCCAGGGTTTTTACAGAATTTTTAATATGTCTACTGTAGTCCACTATTTCACTGGTTTTCTTGCTAGTCCTCTCTCACATACCCCCTTGAAAAAAGGTTTAAAAAAACAAAAGCTCCACTACAGAGTCACTGTCTCTGGAAATCACTCTAATGAAAGAGTTTGGAGGGGATGACTAGATAGAAAGTAGCATTACAGAGGATAAACTGGGGGTCTTGCAGACAAGTTCAAGATTGGTCAACACTGTGCCTTTACAGGGTTGAAAGCTAAAATATAACTGCCTTGCATTAATAGTAGGATAGACAGCAAGTCAAGGGAAGTGATTCATCTCCTCTATTCAGCACTCGTGTGGCTGCATCTAGAGTGCCAGGCATAGTTTGGACTTTCTGATACAAGAAAGACGTCTGGTACAAGAAAGTAGGTTCAGCCAAAAGCCATAGAGATGGTCAGTGGCTGGAGCATACAGTGTACCAGTAGAGCTAAAGATAGTTGGGTTTGTTCAACCTGAAGAAAAGAAGACTAAAGCCAGATCAAGCTGCTGCCTTCAAGTACCTAGCATATGGTCATAGAGAAGAAAAAGACAGAGTATTCTCAAAGACATACAGCAAATGTTGCAGAGCAATGAACAAAAGTTATACCAAGGCAAATTGTGGTTATGTATGATGAAATATCTACATATAATGAAAATGCTCCATAATAAGGGCTTTCAAACACTGAAACAGATAGCCCAGACTTTAACTTCTCAGATATTTTTGCTTTTAATAATCTTCCAGAAATGTCACCAGAATGCTAAACTGCAGATCAGTTATTAATTTGGTGCCTATATCAGAGAGAGAAGACTAAAGCGAAAGGTATGGTACTCAGTGCTTCACATTCGGTCCCTCTCATTACTAACACTTACTCTATCAAACAGTATTGCTTTACCAGATGATGATTCCTTTTTTGAGTAATAGCAATGGAGCTACAATTTCAGAATGGCTTTTTCCCCTTTGGTGCAACTCTGAACTCAATGCATCATTTATATTCTTTTGCACCATGTATAATACACTGTAACACAATTGGATTTACTGGTGCTAGACAGACGAACTCCTAACCTTTAATGTCAGCTGCATTAGCATATAATTTCATATCTATTTTCGCAGATTTATCATTTCACCTTTTACAGTGCACAAAGCTAATGTAACTTCTGCTGATGCCACTGCAAACTGGTTAGGTTATTTTATTTCTAACCTTTGTGAAATGGCAATGTGCTCTTCAGAAGACCTAGAAAACTAAACTAAAACGAATTTGCTCAGTACTTTCCTCTCATTTCTGGGTTGTTTGGGATTTTTTTGGTTTTGTTTTGTTTGGTTTGGTGGTTTTGTTTTGTTTTTCCTTAAGTGTTTTTCATACATCATCTTTGTTCCTTCCGAACCCCCTTCTAAAAGTAACATCCCTTTAGGAACTGTTGAGAAGAGTCAAATCACCAAATTGCTTTCTTAGCTTCAATTACATGTCAGCTGAAAGAAAGGCAAAGTTATTACATCAGTTTTAAAATAAAATTTTAAAAGTAACATCTTTTCGATGTGTTGCCTTGCTGTTAGACCAATTGTTATCAGTGGTTCTATTAAAGTATTGACATTGCTTAGAGTGATTTTCAATCTTTACATGTCTTAATTATATTCATCCTATCACATTTTCTGGATGACAGGACCTATACTGCGCCATGTGTGTTAGCTGTGCTGTTAACTTTTTTTTTTATTATTATTACATTTGGTGAGGCACTGCTTTTCTTTCATCAATTTCCTCAAATTTCCCAGTAGCTGAAAAGAACAGTTCCCTGTTTCCTCATTTTCTATCATAAAATCATATAATGGTTTGGGTTGGAAGGGACCTTAAAGACCATCTAGTTCCAACCCCCCTGCCATGGGCAGGGACACCTTCTACTGGACCAGGTTGCTCAAAGCCTCATCCAGCCTGGTCTTGATCACTTCCAGGGCAGTGACATCCACAGCTTCTCTGGGCAGAGAATAGAGATCCTTGTTACAAACACTCAAACACGTTTCAAATGATTCCAACCTAAAATTCCTGTCTCTTTCAATATTATTCTGATTTTCACCAGAAATCTGAAGACACTTCTAGAATGGACTGAGTTCCTTGGATAATTAACTGCAATCTCCTTTTTTTGCCAATTTTATATCACAGCTGTGGTTGTGGAAATTGAACTGTAGTAAAGAACAGTAAAGAAAGATTAATGGATTCTGTAATTAATGTTGTAATTTTGCTCAAGCCAGTTTACTGAGCTAAGAAAATCCACGGTCAGACAAATATGAGGCAAAGCAGATGGAAGTTGTGTTTTTAAGAAACAAAGGTACACAGAAAAGGTGGATTTTGAATCATTTATTGATCTGGTTTTACCGCAGTACGAATAGAAATGACACGAATAAATAGGAATACTTTATCCTTTTTATTCATCTACTCTGTAATGGGCACCTCTGTTGGCTGTGGTAGATGTAACTAAGCCTCCTCTTATAGGAAGCTCCCTCCACCCATTCAGCAAAAACGATTTTAAACTATCCCAGCATTTATGAGACTATGGACTAGAAAACTAAGTTTTAAGTAAAGAACATAAAAAGTGAAAGAGAAGGTTCCCCCAGGACCCTGTGAAGTTCCCTTCATTCCCTTTACAGTCGTCTCCCTGCTCCTCACTGCAGGCTCCCAGTTTCCCAACTGAGATTCTGTCAATTGGTGCAGCCTGATTCTTCCTCACCAGAGCAGGGTCCACAGGTCCCATACAGGAAGTGTAATCTCCTGTCTCCTCCAGACAGTTCTGCCTCATCCCGTCACTTTACTTACAGGAGTATAACATAAAACTGGCAATTACCAAATCAATTATAATTCATATTAGAAACGCAAAAAGAAATAAAAAGGAAAAAGTATCTCAGGCGACTGGTATGGCTGTGATAACAATAATCCACAAAACATTTATCTATGAAGCATCACAGTTGAGTTTATTATGCTGAACAGAGTTCAGAGCAATTAAAAACATCAGTTTTACTATTTGAAGAAAAAAAAAAGATGGTTACATGACCACTCTGGTAATTTACAATTGATTCCCTCATCTATGTACTATCACTGATACATTTAATGATTAAATGTGAGAAATTTTACAAACACAAACTAAAAAGTATAATTCTAATAATGTATAGTTTTGACAACTGTACCAAATTACATCAGAGTCCTTCTAAATACCTTTAACTTCTTTGTCATTCTTGAACCATCTGATATCAGCTGCTGGTTTACTACCAGACGTCTTGCAAGTTAGCTGCATCCTCTCTCCCTCCATAACTGGTGAGGTAAATCCAGTAATCTGTGGCTTCTCTGGAACACCTAATGAGAAAACAAGCAAATGTCTCTGATAGTGTCAGCTGCTGCCATGGATATGTGACCAACTTAAAGTTCACTTCTTCATATGCTCTAAGTTCAAGAAACAGAGTAATCAGTTCCTTGCCTTCTATGAAAATTGAATGTCAGTGAATCCTGTTTCCTACTGCAAATAAACTGTCAATTTGAACTCTAGTTGATTCTAAAGAATTAAAGAAAACAAATTATTTGGTTTTCTAAGAGAAACAGATTGCATTTTAAAAACCGTCTTATCTACGTATGTTCTGCATGCAGGTCTAGTCTGACTTGCTCTTATAAGGTTTAAACTGGTCTGCACTGCAAGTAATATGACAAAATACATTAGAAGTACAGCTGTGAAATTAAAATGTAACTGGCAACAAAAGGCTGAACTGATACAGGTTCAGAACAGATGATTAAGCATGAATTATAAAGATTTTTAATACAAAGTGCAGGCAAAAGTGAGAATAAAAATACATACAGGAGTTAATTTATCTTCAGAGAACACATCAGCAAAAAACCCAATAGGTATAATCCCAATTCTACTGGCTATGGAGAATTCTTCAGGTGAATCCAAATTCTTGGGAGGAGGTCATATGATCATGACATACTATGTACATAATATTAAAGTTGGAAATAGTTGTTTTCCAATGAACTATGAAAGATTTTTTTTAAGTATATAGAGAATTGGGGAAAATTTGATCAGTACAAGTATAAATCCATTTGACTTCCAAAATCACAAGAGTAACTTATTTTAAAGTGATACTGAAAATGTCACGGTTACAATTTTCATCTGCAGCGCTTTGACACGTTGATATTTGTGGCTTGATAAAGGGATCAGTCACAGTAATTGATCCTGTACCCTGTATTTCACAATTTGGTTTGTTTACATCTCTGTTCCGAAATGACAGATTATGTACATAAACACCAAGCAGGAGTACCTATCGCTGAGTACATTTCTGTAATAAATCTAGTCCTCTCTTTCAGGACAGAAAATGGTGTCTACTGTAATACCTTGACACTTAAATCTTCTAATCCACAACAGAGCAGTCAATAAAAAGATTATTAGTACATAAAAGGGCAGTTTATCTGATTAAAAGATGTAATACATTTCAATGGAAAATATCCCCTTTTCAGATAGAAAGTGTTCCAAGAGTTTAAAATGCTACTTTGAAACAGAAAATTACAAATACAAAATGAAAAACGTCAGGCATCTTAAACCTTGCAGCTTTCATTCTTGGAAGGTAAGTTGCTGATATTGGGAAATTTGCATTAAATCCTCCCCCATAATGACAGTAAAACCAAAAGAACTGTGAAAGATCAAGTTACTTTGGTTCATAAATATTGGCTAGATTTTTTTTTTCTTTGTAACACCTCTCTATATTTTTCTGCCATTTAAAAGGTTGGAATGGTCTACTCATCTACTGTTTAGATGAAGAGATGCCTATCTACAGAAAAGAGGATTAACAACAGGCAGTTGTTATTCCAGAATATTCTGCTGTCAGTAGCTATTTTTTGTCCCTAATGGCAAACTTGTGAAGATTTTGTAAAATAGTCTCACAAGGACTGGAAGGGAGACACATTTCATATCCTATGCACAAAACCAATTCCCTGGCTGGATTAATGTGAATATTACTGGCACGGAGAACATCTCACATTAGTCCTATTAAATTCAACTGTCTGCCTGTCTACATATAAAAATAAAACCAAAAGAAAAAAAGAGTCAAGTTCAGGGACAGAAAAAGGAGAAAGGAATAAAAATCAATCTCTAAAATCATATAACCTCATAGGTACGCAGGTGTGTTTCAATGAACTATAGCAATTTCGGCTGATTGGGCTACTGACATTCATAGAATCATATAAAGCTTCGAGCAGAAACTTTATTTCCTGGGCATCTCTCGAAATCTATTGCTTTTCTATGTGTATCTATAACCTTTGGGGAAAACAGCAGAGCATTTAGAAGATAAAGCATAAAAGAAGCAGCAAACCCAATGAAAATAAGCACTTTATAGACAAAAAAAGAAAGCAGAATGAGACAAAAAAATGCACAGCTAAGGAAAAACGATAAAGCTCTAAAGCCCATTTTGATTTCATGCTTTCTGATTTTCTCTCCTTTGCCCTGTACAATACATTGTTAGGAGATGAACACATGCACCTTCTTTGCACTTCTGGTGCTTGGGTTGTAGAGGTTATGTCCATTTTATGGCGCACTCATGCCATGGTATTTGTGCGTTCCCTAATTCATTATCCTGCCATAGTGTAAATAGTAAGAGGCATGTTGTTTTTCAGCACAGCAATACGAAACAATAAACTTCAGGGAAAGAAGATCAGACATTTACATGTATCTTCTGCCAAGCTTTAGAAAAGTTCATTCTGATCATAATTTGCTGAAGCCTGAGGAGTTTAACACTTGCTTCTCTATGCTCAGCTACTTATACTTACCGAGAACGGTAAGAAAAGCCTTGGAGGTTTTGACAGGCATAGTAAATAAAGAGCAGGTGTACTGCCCTTCATCCGACAGAGACACATCACTGACACTGATACTCAGTTCATGCCATGAAGCTCGGACCAGCTCGATTCTGTTGTCCCTCAGAGCTGAAAAACAAAAATTCATGTTATAAAGTAGGAAACAGCACATTAACAAAGCGTGGTGTGTTATACAAGAAGCTCTGCGCAGTAGACTAGTGAAATCATGCCCTAGAACACAGGGATATCGACACGGTTGTCTATGCAGAGTAGTTTGTTTCCTCGGTGGAAGAAGGCACAAGAGTTCTGCAAATTTCAGAATAGGATACTGAGTGACTTGTTATGTACATACACCTTGAAACAAAAAGGACTTCAGTTACCTTTGGTCCTCCTCTGAAAAAAAAAATCACTGACTTTGATTTCTGCCCCCATACAGCTTTGTTCAGTTGCTAAAATAAGTCCTTCCTAAAGCCCTTTTCTTTTTCATGTATTTACAAATGTAGGTGAACATAGAGAATCTTGTTTCATTTACTAAGAAACTGTATTTTCAACTAAGAAGTCTAGCACTGAACAGCTTGCCTGCAGATTTTTCTCATGTTCGTCACTACTCTTAGTGAAAAGGACTATCACATTGCTTGCATGCTGTAAAGGTTTTTCTTATGAATATGCTTAAAGTTTCACTTCTACATGCATATGTAATACATTTAAAGAGTTGAGGTAATTGAGTATAGTGGCTTTACTTTTTTTGATTATGACTAAAAATCTGATCTTCTATCAGAAAACCCTTCCTAACAAAATTTTGTTGGCATGAAATCACTAAAGGAAGAGGAGCAGTTAGACTTACTTAAATTCAAAATGTCAGTTTAGCTAATGCTTTAAAATTTTAAATATTTTAAAGCCTATATTTAGGTTAACTCACATTTTCTATTGACAAAGTCAAAACATTCCCAAACATTCCATTTCTCTGCAGTAAAGCTGTTTCTAGAATCTACATGTATTAACCAAGTCTTTCCACAGCATAGAGATACAAGTAAACACTGTCATTCTCCTAAGCAAACAATAAAAAAAAGCCTCTGTAACTCACAAAGTTTTGCTATCTACCTCTACATTCAAATCTTTGGCCTGACAGCATTTGAATCTTCAGTGAGTCTGTTTTTACAGTAAGCCTCTGAAAAACAAAAGTTAAAATGAGGCTGTAATATTTACGGGGAGATATACTTTGATTTTTGAGAAGAACCAAGATGTTCAAGTACCTAATTCTGTTCTCACTCAACTCTTTCTCAAGTTCCCAAAGGCCGTAATACTTGTTTTTCCTAACATTTATATCTTCCAATGATAAAACAAAGCTTCACCATGGTTCTTTTGTTACTAAATCTAGGTGCTTCTGCCCTATCACGAGGCTCTCCAAGTGCTGTCAATACAGGAACATTTACACCAAAATACGCAGCTACAGTGAAAATTCAGCAAACATGTCACTTGAATTTCTTGTCTTCTAAGGCTACCATTCATGTTTCTTTACAGTGGTCTCCAGCTGACTTTACTGGTTACTGCAGGGTAGGCCAGCTGCAGTTTGACTTACTCTCTGCAGGGTCTGATGACTGAAAGGTGGCAGCTTAAGCAGGCCTAACATACAAGCATGCCATGAGCTGCTCCAAGCCACATCAAAGTGACTAAGATTATGTGTAATGGACACATTCCAAACATAACTGAGAGATCTTCTGGCCAGCCACAGCAAATAATAAAAAAATATGTAGTATATAATAAAATGCACATAATGATGGAAAATAGGTAAAACATTAAAGCAAACAAGCAAGCAAAACAAAAGCCACAAAAGGAAAAGCTATGTATATACCAATATGCTGACATAACAGACAAGAAAAACAAGCTCAAGAAAACAAAAAGTGCATAGACGCAAGCTTCTACCAACCCAGAAAAGCAGGCAAAGCTGATGACTGTAGCTTTACTAGCCAAAAGTCCTCACAACACTAAAGTTGTTGCTAACTTTGAGTAAGTAGATGGAGACTCAGAATCACTTCTCAGCTTTTCAATTCTAGCCAGGTGCAAACTGAGCAGATGTAAGACTGTTAATTTATTTCACATTAGTGACCTTTCAAAAAAAAATTTCAAAATGACCCAGTGCTTACAAATGAATTGATTACCACCACACCCATACATATAATTTGGAGAACAGCATAGGAAATTAAAAAAACCCAACACCTACCAAAAAAACCCCTTAGCACCCCATAATTTGAAAGTGGTTATTTTTGCCTCCCCTCGATCAGAGTATGTTTTTAAAATAATGTGGTATATCATCTTATATTTCATTTTGCTATAATTTTCAATTGCTACTGCCTCATGACAAAATTTATGTAGCTGTTGAAATACATCCCTACAGATGAGGCAATGTACAAAATTTCATGCACCAAAAAGAACTTTAATGAATTCCACTGGAGCACAAATGGTCTACAGACGATGCCAATAGCACATCACTTCGATCCTACTGCTAGGGAAAAAACCAATTGAAATACAAACCACCTGCCTCAACTACATTCCTCCTGCTCCCCTCCCCACCTTTTTTAACCTTTGTACAACACAGGAACCTCAGCTCAGTCAATTTTCTGGAAAACTGGTAGAAACAACCACTAATCAAGAGCTGAGATCAGTTGTTCCATGTTTCAGCCTCGAGTGAACTTTTATTGAAAGAACAGAAACAAAGAGCTTTGTAATGGAAATACCAACACAGAGCCCTTGAAAAAAAATTATTCTAACAGCACTGACATAATACTCCTTTGCAGAAAAGCTGTTTGTCAGGAACATTTTTATAAGTGCTAAGTCTAAATGCAATTAATTATCTGTGCCATGAATTCCAGGCCCAAAGATCTGCAAGCTTTCCTTTCTTCGCAGACTTGAGAGCAAACCAATGAGAGAACTCTACCACTAGTGTGCAAACGGGGGTGTCTTTTTTAGAATTAATTTCCAAATTATTCCTACACCTATGCCTATATCCTTATCTGTTTAGAAAGACATAATTTCCTATGAAATTGATAGCTGTAATGGATGCCAGAACTGTTCTGTTTCCATTTTTTGTGTTAGCTGTATTTTGCTAGAAGTGTGACTTTGGATCAGAGAAAAAGTTGCTAACTGTATGGTCCTGGCTCCTTCAGCCTAGGACAGGGGTACCCTCTGGGAGCGAGTGGCTTCTCGCTCAGAGAGCAAATGAGCAGTCTGCAGCATTGGAGAAGCCAGGATTATTTCCAGCCAGCCAGCAATCTCCAGGCATGGAGACTGGGTGGAGCAGGGGTCTTGTGTGTGGCACAGAGTAAACCCCTTCCAAGCCTGGTCAATGGAGCAAAGAAGCTCGTGGAGCCTGAATAGAATCCAGCTACTGACGGGTATCAACTGGCCAGCAAAAGTTTGAAGGAGAAGACATATTCCTGTGGTGGGTTGACCCTGGCTGGAGGCCAGGTGCCCACCAAGCTGCTCTATCACTCCCCTCCTCAGCTGGGCAGGGGAGAGAAAACACGATGAAAGGCTTGCGGCTTGAGATAAGGACAGGAAGAGATCATTCATCAACTATCATCATGGGCAAAACAGACTCAGCTTGGGAAAAAAAACAACCACCAAATCTCAATACACATTCCTCACACCCCTCCCTTCATTCACAGGCTCAAACATACTCCCACTTTTCTCTACCTCCTTCCCCTGAGCTGCGCAGGGGATGGGGGAATGGGGGTTGTGGCCAGTCCATCACACACTGTCTCTGCTGCTCCTTCCTGCTCAGGGGAGGATCCTCACACTCTGCCCCTGCTCCAGCGTGGGGTCCCTCCCACAGGAGACAGTCCTCCACCAACTTCTGCCATGTGAGTCCTTCCCAGAGGTTGCAGTTCTCCACTAACTGCTCCAGTGTGGGTCCCTCCCATGGGCTGTAGCCCCTCAGAGCAGCTTGCTCCAGCCTGGGTTGCCCAGGGGTTAGAATCCTGCTTCACCACAGGCTGCTGGGGAATCTCTGCTCTGGTGCCTGGAGCACCTCCTCCCCCTTCTTCTACATTGAACTGGGGGTCTGCAGAGCTGTTCCTCTCACATTTTGCGTTCCCTCTCTAGACTGCAATATGACTTCTTCCTTTTTTTCTTTTTTTCCTTCTTAAACATGTTATCACAGGCATTATGGCTGCTGCTGATGGGCTCGGCTTTGGCCAGCAGTGGGTCCGTCTTGGACACAGCTGGCATTAGGTCTGTTGGACACGAGGGAACCTTCTAGAAGCTTCTCACAGAAGCCACCCAACTACTAAAACCTTGCCATTCAAACCAATACAACTCCTCAACAAGCTAGTGGATGGGAAAGATTTATTCACAATATTCTTCTGTATTTGATCCATTTCAGCAGATCCAAATTCTACTTGTTTAAACAATGATCTCACATCATTTGTTATTTTCTATTTTAAAAAACCCATGAGTTTCATAAGCTTTTTCAAAGTTTTTTGATTGCTTTTCCTTTGAGGTTAGAATTGCCCCAAACAGGGCAATTTTACCATAAGGTTCAACCAAGTCTAGTTTCTACCACAGTTGTTTTAATAATGTACCATAAGGCAAAATGCAAAAAGTTCTCTCTTATTAACAGAAGAAAACGAAAAGTAGAATATATATGGGGAGATTCTGCATGAATTTGGAGTTTGGTAAATACTAATAAACAGATTTCCTATATACTGAAATATATAGATGGTCCAGTGTCCATACATTGTTCAATACATACAGCAGTAAATATTTCTAGCTCCCCATAAAAGTTACGAGAAATGCCAGGCTTCCCTTCAAAGCGCCTCATACTAAAACACAGCTGCTGCGTTGTGCTTGGGTCACAGTATTTTTTCCCCCAGTTTTTAAGAAGGTTACACTAAGAGCTCCCATTGTATTGGACAGGTAGTTGCTGAATAATACTTACTAGCTGTATTGTGGCAGTGACTAGACAGCCCAGGGGGACACAGAAAAGAAAGTTTTGTCCCTAAAGACTCTACAAGCTCAGTCTCCGCTTGACTTGCATGGTTTCCTAGCCTCGCTCCTACCTCTGCCTGCTCTTCCAGAACCTTCTCTGGAAGCTCTTCCTTGTTTCCATTTCACTTTGGTATAAACCCGAC